AGTGGTCAGAATGAAAATATTGTGAGAAACAAGTTGAAAGTTTTTAAGAGTTTACACAAAATTTCCTCACCCCTAGAACTTAATGTTACAGATGTAGGTGTATCCGTACTTATATATATATATGTCAATATTAAAGACTGGTATGTAGCTACATGGATCATTTATGTTACAATCCCACCTTAAGCACTTGCTGACAAATGGTCAAGTTCGTTTGCCATCCTTTTCTGGTTTTCTGGTCAGCTGATCTAGGACATCGTCTAGACGTTAGTGTTTATAGGGTATGTGAAATCCTGATAATTTGATGTTTTCTTTATGAAAAACATTTTAGCATTTATTTTGACAATAGAGTGCTCAATGAGTAAATAGAAAACTTCTAATATTTTACTTCAAAAGCCAAAAAAATGCAGTAAGATAAGACACTGCAGTGGCCTTTAATTTAAGAATATTAAAATCAATTTGCTTAAATGTGCAATAAGTTGGGCATTTGAGAATATCCAGTTATGAAGTGTATCATCTCCTTCTACCGCCCTGTGGCAAGCCACAGTTCTGTACAAGTCCTTTTATTCAGGCTCAGCCAAGTTTCATTACTAAGGGTTTTTTGCCCATTTCTTCAGTTTAATATTTTGACTTTGTATTATTGTCAAAAAACACTTCTTTAAAAGGTAATTAAGTTTTGGAACATGTGATAAAATTTAGATCCCTCCAAACTACAGGTTTCAGAAAGGTTTATACAGTGAAAGAGCTGTGGGTCTGGCTCCACCTGCCTTCAGCTAAAGGAGAGACTGAGGTACAAGTCAGTCACCTGAGATGAAGCTGCAGTCAATGCTATGTGAGGGACACAAAGCCAAGAGATGGCTGCTCCACTGCTGAAACTGCATACAATTATCTTCAGTGCTGTAGGTTCCCATGAAAATCCTTTCCCACACAGTGTCAGCAAAACAGTGCTGTGTTGCATATGAAAATATTTTAAACTTTTAACAGCATAAACAAAAGGTGTACCTGTATCCAGTATTTCATTATTATGGAGTTTTGGGTTATATTTCATATTTGTCAATATATTTTTTGTATTCTTATTCTACTACCAATATTATGCTCAACTGCCTATTCATGGATGTGATATTTTGTAAATATTGTACAACTTGATCTTTATATGATTTTACATTAGTATTAATTTATATTATATATAACTTAATTGGTTGATCACTAAAAGTTGTTTCATCGTTAAGCCCTGAAATGTTAAATTGTCAGTGACCTGCCTTAGGGCTCTGTCTTCCTTCTTTGTATTGTTTCATTTGGTCTGAACAGTACTTGATTTGTACTAATAACTGAGACTGGAAAGGTAGCTTTGTTTGTTTTGTTTTGTTTTAATTTCACTTCATAGCTGATGTTAATGGGTCCTTACCCAGGGAGTCAGAAACTAACGAACAGGGTGACTGTTTCTTATACACTAAAGGCTTATGTTCAATTGAATGTTTCTCATACACGTAGTTGTATGAGTTTCTTTCTGTACACTGAACACAAAACTCAGGAATTGGTGGATTCATATGTAAGTCCTTTAAACAATGTATAATTGACCTTGAGTTTGGCCAGACTGTGTGACTTGACTTTGAACATTCTGATCTGAGGGTTATCTCTCTTCATAAATGGATTCACAATGTGTGTGACTCACCGTTCCAAACTGTCTGAAAACTCCACATGGTTTATCGGGTTTGTGACTCCATGGCCAGCTTTCTTTCTTTTTTTTTTTTTTTTAACTAAAACCTCATCTTCTTATGTGAAAATTTAGATGAGTACTAATAAGTATTGACATTTTCATTTTTCAGTTGTTAGATGTCTTTAGTTGTCCCCCATTTGGTAAGATGTTGCTGGCTGGGGAAAGATAGTAAGTAGGCATATGAGATGTTAGTGTGCTGCAGCGATAGATATTTAACTTGTGATTCTTACCACTACTTTTTTTTTTTTTTGTTATGACTTAGAAAGGTACAGTGGTAATCTTTGTCATGGCTCAGTTGACAACTGCATTCCATTGAAAAGCTGGCCCTGTAAGATACGATCCTCATTTCCTATCTCATGTTTTCGTGCCTTTAAGGAGATATTTTTATTGTTTTGTGTTACAGAACTATAATATGGTGTTCAAAGTGTTTGTAGGCTTATTTGTCATAAAAGGGTCATTTCTCTGTCACTTTATTTCCTTTTATATAGCTGAAGAATATGTAAACAGTAATGTTGTACTTTTATAAAGGTTTGTCTAGTTACCTACTTCAAATATATTCTTACTCAGACATCATTGAAGTAAACTTGTCAGATATTCTGAGTATTGTAAACAGTGCCTTTTTGATGGAATTCACACGGTTTTGGGTGTCAACTCGTGCCATATTCACAGAATTTTGTGGAAGGCAGTTTTAACTTTTTGAAGAATATCCTCATCAAAATTTTAAAAACAAATGTATAAAGTTTCATCTTTTTCAGTGTTTGGCATTTCTAGTCAGCATTTAATAGTCTTGTTTTGCTTTTTTTGTCTTATGTACAGTGATGATGGCATAAGATGAGCCATACATGAAGTCTGCAGATTATTTTGAATTATGTTAAAAATAAAGCATTCATGTTTATATAAAATTTTCCAATTTGACCTATAGGAGGGACCCTCCCATAATTCAATAAGTTTACATTTTAACCTCTTTCTAATTTGGCTACGTTTATAAAGAGATTCTTTAAAATATGTAACCTGCCACCACTGCATAATTTGGTTGCTTTTTGTTACATATTTTGTGGGTTTAGAATATCCATTTTTGTTACAATTATAATACTATTTTGTTACAGTTTTTAATTGAACATGGACTGTTAAAATTGTACAGGACCAGTGTCTTAGTAAATAAGATTAACATATTTAGTGAGAGCCACAGGAAAACCTTGACGAAAATGAATGTGTCTGTACTTTACGGAGTGTTTAGAAAAATTAGCCTCTTCATTCATCATGAAAATTATTTTAGTACCATAATATTGAAATTCTCTATTTGACAAAATGCCATGAAACATTTGAATGATGAGCCACAGACCTTCAGTTGCGTTTATTTTCACTTTTTGGCATGTTAAATTTAATTTTAAATACATCAGTTAATGGCTGTTTATAAAGTCAAGCACTACCACTGGTCAGTTTTATATGATAGGATATAAGTATGTTGTTACCTGCAGTGTAAGTATAGCACACTGTTGAATTCTCTTAAGGTGCATAGTAAATGTATAGATAGTCACAGGCGGTTTTGTAATGTATACATTTCTAATCTAATTATTCCTAACCTGTTATGTTTGCAGAGAGAAAAGAATTTTTCTAATGATCTGTAAAATTATGTTAACTTCTATAAGTAGGTATTCTAAATAAACTTTTTAAAAAGCAATTTGTGATCCAATGACTCCTATATAATGCAGTAACTAAATCATCTCATTTATTTTGCTTTGTTTTGAGGGTGTGTATGCAAAAGATACCCATGTCTTGACAGGGATTTAGCAGAATCCCTAATGTATGTTTTACTTGGTACTTTATAGTTCTTCTTTCTTAAATAAGTGGAAATTATACATACTTCATACATGAAAAGGGAGGCCCAGGGTTTCTAAATGTGACCCCAAGAACTGCACATTAAGAATGAAACTGCACATTAAAAATGGTAAAAACATTTTGAACCATGTCTACACAGTGTGCTCAAGTAGAACCTAGATTGCAGCATTTAAGTGTTTGAAATTAAACCCACTACTTGAGTCTATATTAAAATAATGTCAAGTGATGAATGTAACCAAAAAGAAAAAAAGCTTTACCATTAAACATTGAACATTCCCCTCCAGTCTGGAGTCCATACCGAATAACCCTCAGATAAGATTCAGGAAAATTTTACCCTTGATTTCCTCCTCCTTTCTCCCCATTCTAGCTTACCTCCAGAATCCACTTGCTACTTCTAGAAATAACAGGAGAACCTACAATTTTCTGTCTTGAATGGGAATATGGAGTAGGGAAAACCCTGTCAGTGTTAAACATCGGTGTGTATCTAGATCACTTTCCGCTAATATTGACAAGTTCGTTCTGCATTCTTGTGAATATAAGTGTTAAGCATTGTGGCTCAGATGGAAAAGGATTCTAGCACTCGGGAGCCAAAGAATATTGGGATGGAACAGTATTCCGGCAACCCGGAAACCAAGGAATACCACAGGTCACAGTAAGCATAGCACCTTAACAACCCTGATCCAACAAGGAGGGCTTCCCAACGAAGTGTTTTTCTTGGGCTGTACCTTTTTCCCTACAATAACAGCCCAGGAGTGATAGTCCACCATAAGAATATTGTGAGCAAATGATAAATATTTGACTCTATTTGCTCTGTGTTAGAAACTGTACAAAGTGCTTCCCAGTGCACCAACCTCAGAACTTTGATTTTTTTTTTTTTTTTTTTGAAATGTGGAAAGCAGGGACCATGAATGTCACCGATGATTGACTGGAAGCACCTCAGCTATGAATTCAGAGTTCATGGTCTCCCTGAAGCCTGTGTTTTAATATGAAACATTTCTGCTTTGGGGCTGTACACACAAGGTTACTATTGTGGTTAAGCTAGTTGGAATGTCTTCCATACCTGAAACGCAGGAAAGAGAGCACACCCCAGCGGAAGAGAATCTAAAAGTGGCGGTGGCCAAGCTCTCCGCGTCCAACCTGCATTCTAAAACCATGTGCGTGAAGGCAAGGAGAACAATGGGTACGGTATGGGCCCTGTATGCATAAAAGCCAGGACCAGCACAGTCCCCAGGTCCCTCCATCCCAGCCTCTCAGGGTGCAGACCTAGGGGGCGTGGTCAGGGCCGCCCACGGGGCGTGGCTCAGGACGGCGCCTGGAGACCCCGCCTCCACCTCGGTCTCAGTCTCCGCCCGCCGGGCATGCTCCGCGGCACCTCAGAGTCCGGTGGCTCGTCCACCAATCCACGCAAGCGGTGCGGGGGCATTTCCGGCTTCTTCCTCGCCTCTTCCGGTTCCGCCCTCCAGCGGTCCTGACCTTCGCCCTCTGCTGCGCAGAAGCGGTTTACAAGATCCTGGATGCATGGCGTCCCTGGGGTCTGTGACCGCGGCGCTGCGGGTGGTTGAGGCGCTGGAAGCCATCGCGAGCCGCTGCGTGGGGCCCGAGGGCGGGCAGGTGTTGTGTACGAAGCCTACCGGGGAGGTGCTGCTGAGCCGGGATGGAGGCCGCCTCCTGGAGGCGCTGCACTTAGAGCATCCCTTAGCCAGGTACCTCGCGCCAGGCCCGCAGTCTCCCTCTACCTCTCTCTCATCCAGTCACGAGATCGTGGGCCTGAAAGGAAAAAAAAAAAAAGATCTTGTGAGACCAGTGTAGACATTCGATAAGGGTGCTGCCCAAACGACTAGTCCAGGGCCCCAAACCTCATTAACTGCCTAGAACATTTCTCTTTTCCCATCCCCGGCATCTTAGAATAGAACAAAGTAGCTTTAAAAAAAATAAAAAGTAAAGCCAAGGCTGTGCGTCAAAAAGACGGTAGTCTTTATGTCTGTGGCTATGAAAACATGGGTTTAACTTGGCACCGACATAGAAAATCTGAATTACTTTTTTTTCCCCCCTCCTTATACAGGATGGTAGTGGCATGTGTTTCCAGTCACCTTAAAAAAACAGGAGATGGTGCTAAAACGTTTATTATTTTTCTTTGCCATTTACTCAGAGGACTTCATGCAATCAGAGAAAAAGATTCATTCACTTCTGAAACTACTCAGACCTACGAAAGGCATTGGAAAAACTGTTGCCAGTGGAAATCTATTTCCCAGGCCCTGCTGACGTTTCAGACACAAATACTAGATTGTATTGTGGATCAGTATTTAAGCAGGCACTATCTGTCTATCTTTTCTTTGTCTGCTAAAGGAAGAACACTTTGCAGGCGCTCTTTAGAGTCACTCCTGGAAGCATACTTGTGTGGAAGAGTGGGAAGAAACAATCACAGGTTTATTTCACAGTTAATGTGTGACTACATTTTTAAGTGTGTGGCTTGTAAAAGTTCAATTGAAGTATTCGAGTTGGTGGACAACTGTTTTGTCGAATTGAACATTGGTGTGACGGGCATTCCTGTTTCGGGTTCTAGAATTGTGGATGGCCTTGTGCTTCACCGAGACTTCTCTGTTTATTGTCCAGCAGATGGGGACATAAGGATGGTGATGGTAACAGAAGTCCTCCAGCCTCTGTTTTCATCGTCCAAGTCAGAGTTTATTCTAGATTCAGAAGCGCAGTTTCAGGCATCTCAGTGTTGGATCGTGGAAAGGACAAAAGCCGTAATGAAACATTTGCATAGTCAGAACATAAAACTGATCCTGTCCAGTGTGAAGCAACCAGATCTGGTTATTTATTGTGCAAGACTTCATGGCATATCAGTGGTGGAGTGTTTATCATCTGAAGAGGTTTCTCTTGTCTGGAGGATCACCGGCCTTCCTCCTTGTGTTTTACCACAGGTCTCTTCACAGGGTGAAATTTCTGATACGACTTTGGTGAAGTTTTGTAAACCCCTCATCCTGAGATCCAAAAGGTATGTTCATCTTGGCTTGGTTAGCACATGTGCCTTTATACCTCACTGTGTGATCCTTTGTGGACCGGTTCTGGGTCTCGTTCAGCAACATGAGAGTGCTTTCCATGGAGCGTTTAAGATGCTTAGGCAGTTATTTACTGACCTTGACCTAAATTATATCATACAAACCAACACCCAGAGTGACTCAAGTCCTCTTGCTTATCACAACAGCAGAGAATGTAATCGCCTACCAGAAATTGGTAAGTATCAGGACATAATAGTAAAGAGTGAAAATAAATTGAAAAACACTCAAACACATTTAAAAGTATATTCAAATGTGGTGGCTTCAGATACAGAATTAGAAACACATGTGCCATGGTCAGCACACAAGGAGACACCAATACATACATCTCAAACCAATGATATACTCAAGTGCTTGTCTCCAGAAAAAAACTGGAAAATTGATGACTGTGAACTATTCATTGAGAGTAACCCCACTGGAAATCCTACAGCAGAAGACACTAGAACAGAAATTTCTTATGAAAATGTACAGGTCACAAATAATCCTGGAAAAGAATACACGTTGCCAGTGATGTACAAGTCACTAGATGCATGTACTTCTCAGGGTTATTGTTCATCAACTATACCAGCAGGCTGTGTTCTGCCAGTGGGTGGTAACTTTGAGATCTTGTTACATTACTATCTCCTCAACTATGCCAAACAATGCCGGCAATCAGCTGAAGCCATGGTCAGTATGTTAATATCTGATGCACTTTTAGGCCTCCCTAAAACCCTTTACAAGCCTAAGAAGGGGAAGGACAGCTTTCCACAAATATATATTCGATCTCTCCGTGCACTGCAGACCAGTCAAGCCATGGTAAGTGGTCAGTCAGGCTTGGAGCCAGTAGCTGGTAAGTACCAGTTAGTAGCTTCAGTTATTCAGTGTTTGGCAAAAATACTAACCATTGATTTAATAATCAATATTAAGAGACAGCCTCAGAAAATTGATGACCAAGATTCAGAAGATGAACTTGAACACTAAGCTTTTTGTTGCTCAAACTTTGAATCTGGGATCAGGGAGAAGGCAAACAGAGGACCTGTGGTCAATGCCCAGGGCCCACCGGGTGGAAGGACAGGATGGAGTCTGGAACATTGTTCTGTCTCCTACACACATTCATAGATGCAAGCATGAAACCTTAGAAAAAAGATGTATTCAACTCAAGCTTAAAATTCAAACAGGCTTCTGGCTGACTCTGAAGTCAATCTAGTCTTCACCCTAAGTCCACTGAGGCCACCTGACCATTCAGACACAAATAGCATCTCTCTATGGAAGCAAACCTGGCTCAGTATGTTCTTTTCTACGTTATATATCTGTGTTGGGTCTGCATTAGTCTGTTTCTAAAGGAGCATGTCTGTATCTCCCTTTTCTGCATTTCCTCCCCACTTCATTTCCTTGAACGTCCTGTATTTCATAGAGTCATGTAATCTCCTGACATGAAAGAAAGAGTCTGCAGATGCCATCTCACATTGTTTATGAACGGGAATATAAAATGTTAATGTTCTGTCAAAAATAATTTTTCTGTGGGTGAAATCTGTAAAGCAGTAAATAAAAGTCAGATCTCTGTAAAAGCATATGAATTAATTGCGTCATTTGGTTTATTTATTTCTATTGAAAGCAGTTGGTTGAGGGCTGGGGAGGTGGTTCAGCGGGTACAGCACTTGGCACCTGAGCCTGGCACCCTGAGTTGGAAGGGGAGAACCAATTCCACGGAGCTGTTCTAGGGACTTCACATGTACAGTTTGTCACGATGCATACACATGAAAATAGTAAATTTTCAAAATCTGCACCGTTGAATACCTGTTCAAAAATAACCACATTGTGAATTCACCTCTTATTATAATTAGAAGTTAACACCAGGAAAGATAGGAAACTTGTGCTTTTCATTTTCTCCTGGCTCCTAAACTCTTTGAAGGATTTAATGCAGTTGCTAGTGTTTCTTAGTTTGGGTTCATGGCCAGAGTGCAATAACAATAACTAACTTGACAGTTATTTCTATTGTAAATTGACAGTGTTTGTGTGTCGCTTTAATAGCTTCTGAGTGCAAACAGCAGTACTGTACTGCTGCAGTCATGAATAAGAACAGTGTCCTCTGCTTTTAGTAATTCTCTGTAACACCCAAAACAGTGTTTTGTTTACACCATGTGTTTAAATGTGCTTGTTAAGTAACACAGTGGTATTGCACCCATTCCCCTGATTTGTGTGTCTAGTTTATTCATTCAGTAATCCTTACTGTACAAATACTAGGTTGGATGCCGACTCTTCTATGCTGACATGCACTCTCTTCGGAGGTTAATGGATTATAAACATTGGCTTGCAACTGAATTCAGGAAAAGTAAAACAAAGACACCCTTACATTTGCAAACTTTCTGACTAATAATGTGTTTGTAAACCTGTGGGCTGGGAAGACAGCTCTGAGAATAGAGTCCACTGCACAGACATGAGGAACCTGCATCTAAATTCCGAGTGCCTATCTAAAAGCCAGGATTGGCAGCATGCTTCTATAATCCCACAGCTGGGTGTTGTAGGGAGTAGAGACGGGTAGATCCCTGGAGCTTGCCAGCCATCAATACAATTGATGAGCTCAAAGGTCTATAAAAGAGTTGGAAACAGCTTCTGTTCCCACTTTTAGGAGTCACACAAGAGGGCCAAGCTACACAACTAACATATATGCAGAGTGTCTAGGTCAGTCCCGTGCAGACTCCCTGGTTGTCGCCTCAGTCTCTGTGAGCCCCTATGAGCCCAGGTTAGTTGATTCTGTGGGTTGTCTTGTGATGTCCTTGGTCCCTCTGGCTCCTATAAGCCTTTCTCCTCTTATGCAGGATTCCCCAAGCTCTGGCTAATGTTTGATTGTGGGTCTGCATCTGTTTCCATCAGTTGCTGGATGAAGTCTGTGTGATGACAATTAGACTAGGTACCAATCTGGTCACAGGAGATGTCCAGCTCAGGCTAGGTATCCACTATTGCTAAGAGTCTTAAGTGGGGTCTTCCTTGTAGATTCTTGGGAGATTCCTTTGTGTCAGGTTTTTACCTGACCCTAAAATGCCCCCATTTCTGATAGTATCTGTCAATACTCTCCCCCTTTGTCACCTCCCCCCCAACCTGATTTCTGGAGTTCCCATTCCAGATTTGTGTGTGTGTGTGTGTGTGTGTGTGTGTGTGTGTGTGTAAATGAAATCCTGAAAGGGATTTGAAGCGACCTGTAATAAGAACCAAGTTCTGGTAAGAGTCTGAAGTAAAGAATGGGACAAAGGGAGATAGGGGAGTAATTTGAAATCAAGATCTTTTCAGGTTTCCCAGCGCTGCATGATAATAGTCCCATTGTTCCTCCCAGGGTGCTGGGGTTGTCTGAGCTCTCACAGGGTGAGCCAAGGTGCAAGGGAAGAGAAGTCAGGCGTCGGTGCTCAGTGGCGAGTGTCGATGTCACATTGTAGGAATAGTGTGTGGACTGGATATATAGAGGCAACTGTCTTTGGAAATACCGTCTGCTACCCCATGAGAAGGAAAAGAACAAATGTGTCCCTCAGCTGAGCTTTTGTGAAGTCTCATGTAAAGCTCCCTCCCACAAGCACACATCCTCCAGGAACCTTTATCAACCTTCTTTTTCTCGAACTTGTATGAGCCATTTTTATCTTCAATCCAATAGGCATTAAATAATTGAACATCCTTGAACTGCTTCAGCCAAAAGAGCTTTTTGCTCATACTACACAGGAGAGATATGTCACCGTATCCATGTTTCAAACAGAAAGGAATGAGTGGAATGAATGCTATTTGAGCACAATTAGGAATTGCTCATTCTCTCCAAAAGGGGATATATGCAACTTTTGTTTGCTGACATAAGAAAATCAGGTTTTCATTCAGTCTTACCTCTGAATGGGGATATGCACTGGTGTGTAGCTGGGCTTTGACCACAGTCAAGAGCAATGCCCTGGGGGATGAAAGGTACAGGAATGAGGAAAGGAACTTGAATCCCTGCATGACCAAGCATAGTCATTCCAACCCCTTGGGCTCTACACTCAAGACTTATGTGACGGTGAAGGCAACTGCTGTTTATCTCTGCCTCCTGGAGCCTCTTTGTTATGGAAGTTGCACTTATATTCCAGCAAGAAATCTCTGCCATGACTGAATGAATAACTATAAACTTTTGAACTAGAAAAATAACTACCCATGCAGCTCTAGACCTTACCAACTTTTTTCAATAATTTTTTTCCAAGATGCTTTTGCTTTGGGGGTTTGGGAGACTGGGTTGTGAAATACATTTTAATGAATACACTTCAAGTAAAAAATGTCTTGCAATTTTTGAACAGAAGCTTCTGTGGCATCAGAGCTTTGCCTCCTGCTCTACAAGCTTCAGATGCCAAGACACTGCCACCTTCTAGAAATGCTTTTGAGGCACCAAAAACATATTCTCCTTCATTGAAAGTCTTGTGACAGCTCCAGAGGCTGGATATCTTTAATTTTTTATTTTATTTACTTATTTTGTGTGTGTGGGAGGGGGGTGCCTGTGGAAACCAAAGACATCAGATTCCCTTGGAGATGAGGGTGTAGATTGTCAACCACTCAATGACAGTGACTGACATGGGTGCTGGAAACTGAATTTGAACTCAGGTTCTCTACAAGAGCAGTTTACTTTTTTAAATCACTGAACCATTCCTTTAGTCCCTGGACTGGCTCCTTCGCAAAAACTACTTAAGAGTTTTTCATTTCCTGAAGGCATGGGTGCTCTTATGGAACCTCGGGGTATGAATTTTCTAATCTTCACTGTGTCTTTTTCTACTATAGACCTTGTTGGAGGTTTTTTTTTCTTCTGATCAGAGTGTGGATTAGGGAGTTGATGAGGATCCTCGACCTGTTTCTCATGGTCTACTCCTTCCTGCCTCCCCCCATGAGAAAGGAGCCCAGGTATTTGGCCCTTATCCGGCCTTTTCTTCCTAGTCACCTTGCCCTTCTGAAATGAAGCAGCCCTCACCAGAAACAGTCTTCACTTTCCCAGCTGCCTGTATCTCCTAACTGTCCTTCATAGACTGAAACTTTATCTGGAATTCTTATGTTGGCCACTGCACCAATGAGAGTCTCCACAGTGCGTAGCCTGCCACAGGCCTCTAAATAGTCAGGAGAGTTGTAAATGCTCTAGCAGCATCCACTAGGCATCCAGCCTGAACTTCCACAAGACGTTCTTAAGAAGAGGCATGTATCATTTGTATCTTCTGTGATGCTGGTTATTTCAAACTTTGGTGAATTGTCTCCAGTAGAACTTCTTGAATTGGTAGGGAATTGTCTGAGTAAAATGGTGCTGTTTTTCCATTGTAAATTGACAATAAATGGAGAGAAAAGAAGAACCACAAGGAAGGAATAGATCAAGAGGCCAATGAAACCATGAAATCTGATGAAGAGGAATGCTACATGTATATGGCATAGAATCTAAGTAATTTTACATTTCAATATGTAAATAATAAACTCTTAAGATGCGTGCGAAGATGAGGCTAGCATTCTAGGCCCTGAGTACATAGACACTTCCTCAAAATAACAAAAACATAGGACCAAAGACCATGAGTCACTGGGGAAAAAAAAGTGCATTTTAGTATATACGTGATTGAAGAAATGAAAGAATAAACTCAATGCTATCCTACTGAACACGAGACCAGCTTCAATAAACCAGAGGGCCATCTCAGACTAAGCAAGTTGAGTGAGTACAGCAAAGTGAACGCACATCAATGGAGACTACACAGCACCCTTGGTCTTCATCCCTTCCATGTATAATTTGCCCTTAGAGCCTCCATTCAGGCAATTGCATCACTGCCTTAGCTTCCATTTCCATCTTCTATACAACCACGAATGGGGATGGTCTTCTCCTTCTTGTGAAGCATTCGATTTGTTTTACTTGTGTGTGCCCCCCCCCTTTTAAACAAGGAAAATCTACCACCGGCCATTTTATTTCTTTAATCCTTCCCTAAGATCCAGTGTACATCGAACTTCTTGATGCAGAAAGTAATCTTGGAGCATCTAAATAAAAGTATAATATGTCCAAGAGGCAGACGTGGCCAGATAACAGAAGTGCTGCATTTCAGGATATCGCCAGAATTTTTAGACTTGAAGACTATATCCAGATACTCCGTTGTGCCTACCTGTATAATGTGTAACCCTCATTTCCTCCTCCTGTGGGGACCTTAAATCCTGTGATGGCCCCTCATCTTCACATGCATCTTAAGAGAGTTCCAGAAGGCTTGGGTTTTATTGTTTGCTTTTTTTTTTTTTTTTTTTTTTTTTTTTTTTTTTTTTTTGTGGTGCCTGACCTGACAGCTAATCTTTTGAAGAGAGCTGGAAATTTACATGGTTATTGTCAGAATACTCATGAATTAGCTGGAAAGATGTATGAAATAGAAGAGTGGCTTTAGTTTGACAGTCATGCCAGTCTAGTGAGCTTTGCGACACTGTGACAAAATACCTAACATAATTAACTTAAAGTGGGAAAAGATCAATCTTGTTATGGTTTGAGGCTTGATAGATATTTGCTTATTTTGATGTTTGCCACCTTTGCTGGACACAGGGTCTGGATTGGAGTTTCATTGCACATTTG